TTACTAGTAGCGATGCCCTTTGCTACTAGTAGCTTCTTGTTCCTAGTAGTATGGCCAGGAGCTGCTAGTAGCGTCGTTGCTCCTAGAAGCGAGCCCTTTGTTAATAGTAGCAATCAGACATCAAGAATTGAGACATGTCCGTTCTCTCAGGAACTCTGCCTCGTCACGCTCGCATTGCATCTTTACTTTCAACCTACTGAAGTCTGGAGGTGGACGGGAACAGCGTGCCAGCAACTCGCTGACGCAAAATCAGGTTTTGAGTCATAGAATACATTCTTTCACAGATGTTCGAAACATATTCGCATATATTCGCAGAGATTTCACGAATGTAATCAGTGAGCTCACGTGAGTGCATGTTGCTGTTGTGTCGGAGCAATCTGTGGCACTGAAACTTCAGTCAAGATAGAATCTTGGTGGCTTAGGTGTCAATCTGGTGGATCTTGCAGGTTCGGAAAGGCAAAAGAAGACAGGGACTTCAGGCAGCCAGCTGAAGGAAGGAGCGATGATAAATCAGCCATTTGATTTGAATTTGTTGATGGCCCTTGTTGGCTTTAAGCCAGGCTTTGTCCTTTATTGGCACACCAACCATTCATCAACAATCATCCATGTGCTTTGCTAGTGCAACACAACACAGATAGACACAGACTCAAGGAACAATGTAGCACAGATGCCTAGAGCAAAGGTCGCTGTCCAACTTGGCCTTGGTCATCAACAAGTTGGCAAGCTTCGATGATGGAAAAACGGATTTCGTGCCATTTCGGAATTCAAAGCTCACCTACATCCTGTAACTCGGACACGAAAAAGACGTCAATGAAGCCGTCCGACCGCCGCCAACTCCGACACTCAAATGTCGGCGAACCGAGGCAGGAATCCTTGAGTGGCAATTCCAAGACTGTCCTCATTGCTGCTCTTTCTCCAGCATTTTCGAACTTGGAAGAGACTCTAGGAACCTTGAAATTTGCCCGGTCCATAGTCGCGTCGTTGACTAGTTGCCTTTTGCCTTCATTTGCCGCTTCAAAGAACGCAAGATTTGAGATTGACCACTGCAGACTCTGCCGGCTTGAGATGTTGAGGCCCAGACTTGCAAGAAGGTGGCGACCAAAGCGGTGCGCAACGAGGCAAATAGCGGAAGCATTGTGGAGGATCTCACTGCGGAGATCACCAGGAGCGCCGAAAACTCGCGCGGCACGAGTGGCGTCCTTGCTCCGTTCGTAGCGATGCCCTTTGCTCCCAGTAGCGTCCTTGCTCCTAGTAGTTCCTAGTAGCAAAAAAAAGACAATCTTTCATTTCTTGCACCCCATTCATTAAATACATATTATGAATTCATTGAATACACGAAAACGTGGATGAAAGATCTGTTGAGACTCTGGAGTGGTTGCAGTTTCTCGTCCGTCAGTCATCGTTGTCAGGCTCAAAGAACAACTGAAAGCATCACAGGCGACACCAGAGAACAGCTGGACACTGAGAGAGCTGCGGAACAGAGAGCTTCAGGCCTAAAGCGTCATCAAGTCATCAAGAGAGAGGTAGTCATCAAGCGTCCATCTTACGTGTAAGAGAAGAGTCAGTCGGACTCTTCTCCAAAAAGATCAAAGAGTCGTAGCTTGGCGTTTGATCCTTCAGGAGGTGAAACAATGGTAAAAACTGGTGAACCAGGACGCTAGGAGCAAAGGGCATCGTGAACCAGAAGCGCTGAGGCAAACTACAGCAGCAACTTCAAGATACGGAGCAGCTCTTGGCCCAGATGGAGCAGGTGCGAGTGATGTCTCGCGTTCTCAACAAGTCGAGCCTTTTTGCAAACCCTTTTGGTTCTTCTTCCACCTTTTTTGGAAATGTGCAGGCTGAAGAAATATGAGAAGACATGAGAAGACTTCTTTGTAGAGAACGCGTTACATATGGTGTGCGAACAGGACTACCAGGTGCAGTTGGCAGAGGCCAAGAAACTGGAAGAGTCGCGCAAGAAGGCACGGGCGAGGCCTTTTCTTTACCGAGGCCCCTCCCTCCCTCCCTTAATTAGGTGCCTACTTAGTCAAGGGGAGTAAGCTACAAGGCGAAGTTCGCTTCAACTGGACACAGGATAGCGAACTTCGCTTCAAGGAATCTCCCCCCACCCGAGGCGAGGGGGAGCTCCCTTGAAGCGCGAGCTATCCTGTGTCCGGGTTCCTGGATGTTTCGGGACATTTACGTAGCGTCCTTGCTAGTAGTAACAAAGGGCATCGCTACTAGTAACAAGGGCATTACTACTAGTAGCATTCTTGCTACTAGTCGCGTCCTTGCTCCTAGTAGCGATGCCAGGAGCTACTAGTAGCATCTTTGCTCCTAATATCGATACCCTTTGTTGCTAGGACTCTTGGTGTATGTTCAAAGAGGCATTCTCGGCATGTCGATGACTACCGACTAGAACACGGTATTTTTAGCATAACATAACAGGTCGTCTCGACGTCTTGATTCTTCCCACTGCCAGGCCTTGGGCGACTTGGGTTTGGACCTGGCAGAGATTTCTGGAGCAGTTGGTATGGTCCCTTGGTCGTACAATAGTTGGAGGTACATGTTGCGATAGAATCGCTTCTAGGTTGGAGGCCATCGCTTCTGTTCTTTTCCGTTGGCGAATGATTTTCCGTTGGGTGTTGGGAGGCTTGAAGTGAGAAGGTGTTGGTTGCTGGGCAAGTTGCTGGTTCTCCCCTCACTGCTTTTAGTTGGGTGAGCACCCGAGTTGGTTGCTCTACATAAGTGGGATTAAGTGGGAGGGTCGAAGCATTGGGGTGACATTGTAGAAGCTGCGATGGGTTCCCAGAAGCCAGTGATGCATTCTTGCATCCAGATACTTTTGTGAGGTCCATACAAGGTTTACAGACCATGGTTTTGAGGTTGAGAAATCACTTGAAGCTGCTGCGAAGCTGCCTCCCCAGTCATTCTGTACCACTTCGAATCTATCACTAAACAAGACAATGCTCAATCACGTCCTCTAGGCCCTAGGCTCACTCTTATGTTCGCCAACATTTGCCTTTTTGTGGCCCCTTTGTGCGTTTCCTTGCGAAAATCTTGGTTCGGTTGAGCTAGCACGACTTTTGATCCTGCTTAGAAATGCAGAGTCCTGCTCTAGCTGTAGCGCTGCAACGGCATTTGACCCTAAGAATCCCATCCCTCAAACTTGCTTGATGGTCTTTCTACGGCAGTGATGTCCAAAACGGCGCCAACCGGGACTTTGACAAGGTGCACCTTGAACAGAAAACCTGCGCAGCGGTTGAGTTCACCTTGAAACCGAGGACTTGAATGTTCCTCAACTGGTGAACCTGTCTGATGATGCATCCCTACGAGGACTTGCCCCAATGAAGCGCGATGTGACATGCTGTGCAAGCGGTTTACAGTTTCAAGTGAAGCCATTCTCTAATAATGTCAAAGGCGGTGGATTGTTAGAACTGAATCTCCACAGCAAAGATTCGACTGTGAGCCTCAACTGTATCGTCGCAGGATGCTTGGTCTACTTTCTTCCAGCAAACGTGGAAACTACAATTGGCTCTGACAAGGATTGCAACGCAGCTGAAGTTGCGACAAGTTGGGTAGAAGTTGGAGAATCGTTTCACGGGAATCCTAAGGCAAAATTGTTCTCAGCGGGCTGGGCATCCAACCCTTCATGTGTCACGTGCTCAAAGATGTTGGAATCTTGCCACGTTTGTTTTTCCTTGTGATGTGTCCAAAGATTTGTTGAAGAAATCGGCTCAAGGCTCTCTCCGGCATCCCGGCTTCAACCTGAATATGATATTTTCGCAGCACCGCAGCGTACTGCTTTGCTGACTGCTTTGCCGACTGTTGCCACTTACATTCCAACTGCAATATGGTTCCACTTCTTCTGTGACCATGAAGCTGACCGAATCGAAGTGAGGAACGAGGAAAACAGCCGCGTAAGCCTTCAGCTCCTGAACTCGGAGGGCCAGCCCTTGTCGGAACCTCCATCGGCGGCACTTTGGCGACAGAACAGACGCCTTAAGGCGGCATCCCGCATACTAACGGCCTTGCCGGGTCGGCCTTGCAACTGTTCTTGGAAAGCGAAAGCGTTCTTGTTTCTAGTAGAAAGAGGTATTCATGTGATGTCCATCCAGGGCCGTAAGTTTGTGGGGTCAGCATTCTTTGTGCCAAGGTTCCTTTGAGATCTGGTGGAACCAGTGGAAGACTGCTGATAAATGGCAAGACCCCCAAGACCACAAGCTTGATCTTGGAGCATCAGGACACATCCTGCATTTAGCAGATTCTGGAGAGTCTCAATCCTCAACGCTTCAACTTCAACCTAGTAGCAATGGCCTCCAACCTAGTAGCAATGGCTGGAGGCTTTTTGATGTTTGGATTCTTGCGCTTTCAAGCGCTTTGACTTCATTGGTTAATCTCGCAAGCCATCATGCAGCCATATGGGTGTACTCAATTGCCCTGGTTAGAGCTGCAGACCGACCGGTCGCAGAAGGGCACAACCTGCATGAAGCGTGAACCTCACTGTCATTGTAAGACTTGGAACAATGGTAAGACTGATATGGAGCAAGGGCGCTACTACGGGCTCCTGGCCTTGCTACTAGGAGCAAGGACACTACTAGAATCATGGCGCCAGACATCACGGCTTTGCAAGACCAGCTCCTTAGGGTCCTGTCGCCTTCGCGCCACTTCGAGTGGTCGCAATGCGCGCCCTCTCTCCTTCGCCGCCTCGAGTTGTTGGTGTATGGCTGCACCGACTTCACTTTCCCGAGGGTGTCAGAGCCTCAGAGAGCCTCAGAGCGCCAAAAGCCTTGATTCCCATTTCTGACAATCCTATAGTCTCAGGCCTCTTACAATATTCAGACATATTTGCTGAATTTCAGAACCAGAGGCTTCTACACCGCAGCCCCTACGAGGCACATCAGCTCCAGGATTTGCATTTTAGCTTTTGTGACTTTCCGAGTATAGAATCAGCAACAAATGGCCTGAAGTAAGGCAGAAGTATGCAGAGGTTGTACTCCAATTACAGAGAAGGTTGCAGAAGCTATCAGAAGCTTAACATACGGTTAGTTACGATGAATCATGTACAGTATCCATTGTGTCCGGTGTGCGTTCTCAACTGAGCAGCCTTCGAAACCTCTATGAAAGAAACACACGGTCCGATTGAACTGCAAGATTGTCGTGTAAGCTAAAGTCTGCACGGCGTAGGGGTTGCGTAAGGTTTGGTAGCATTGGGGCACTCGATGCGTAAGAAGGTGCGTAGACAAATTTGAGTCTTCTAGTCACACTGCTACTTTACTTTGATTTACTTTGTATAGTTTTTTTGCTGAGAAACACTGCTAGCAGAAGAGGGTTGGGGACTCAATCTCTCAAAAGCACTCCTTGCACAAGCTGCGTAAGCTGATGAAGGCGATGCATAAGGTTTGCATAGGCGACCTTCTCAGATGAAGCCCTCTGGGTACGTCCACCCAAGTTTTTGTTTGAAGAATCCAAAGCAAAGCAGCTGCATGGGAAAAACACTTTTCAAGCACATAGGGCAGTTTGACCCTCGCTCCGCCTGCTTAGTCCCCAGGGCACAAAAAGAAGCAGTGGGCTTCACGAAGTGAATCATCCTATTTCTCTAGTAGCTTCTTGTTCCTAGTAGTAAGGCCAGGAGCTACTAGTAGCGTCCTTGCTCCTAGTGGCGATGCCGATGCCCTTTGTTCCTAGTAGCTTCTTGTTCCTAGTGGCGATGGCCTCCAACCTACTTGCGACGCCTCCACCTAATAGCGTCCACAAGAGCAAATTATCAAAAAAGAGTGCTTCAACTGCGCTGGTGGTGAACGCCGGTAACCATTCCGACGCGTAAGAAACGCTCAAGCCCTAAGAGAAAGTCAATCACCGAGTAAGCAAAGACATGGGTAGTGTAAGCATCGCGGAAGCAAAAAAGGATAACATGGCCAAGACCAAAGGGTTTTGACCACCGCTCAACTGAGTCTCCTTACATGCAGGGGATGCTGCTGAACTTACTGAAAGTGAGCATAAGCGGAGGGCAAGCCTGAGGGCCTTACTGCAGAAAGCAGTGCTGGGACAGGACTGTCGTGCCGCTCCAAATGACGTCTAGAATCGAAGCTCACCCTGACCCGGGACTTGCGCAGGATGTGTCGGCTGAAGCCGGAAGTCGCTCCTTAGCAAGGCAAGACTCACTTTTTTGCCTCGAAGTTTGTCGAGCTTCAAGTATCTTCAAAGCACAAAAAGGCAACAAATTGAAGTACGCTACTAGGAACAAAGGGCATCGCTACTAGGAACAAGAAGCTACTAGAGGCTCCTGGCCTTACTGCTAGGAACAAGAAGCTATGAGAAACAAGAATTGAACAAACTGAAGCATGTGTTGAAGCGCAAAGACTGTCCGTGAGAACATGATTTTTGCGCAGGTATCCTGAAGGCGAAGCCCTAACCTTAAACGCCCCTTGGACGTCAATGGCCAGGAGTCAAGCATAGTCAAGCCGGGTCTGACCTTTTGGCTCTAACCCCTTCCAAAAACTGGGTCTTGTGAAAAGCTAATAGCGATGGCCTCCAACCTAATAGCGATGGGCTCCAACCTAATAGCCCTGTTGATCAAAGGAGACTCACATCAACTACACAGTGGAGGGCGGCTCGATCCCATTGATTCCATTGCTCTTAGCAGATGTTGTTGACGAGCCTGTGAGGACAGATTCCTTGCCTTGTTGCATTCTAAACTCTGCATGCTGACAGATGCTGACCATGCGGTTCAAAAGAAACAGAAACACGTTGGAAGCCCATGAAAGCCAATAAAAGCTACTGCAGCAGTCGACTGACTTTGCCCCGCTGCGCTTCTGTTAGAACAGCAGGAAGAGACCAGCGTTCGGTCGTACTGAACATGCAACCCACATCGAATCTTGGCAAGTGAAACTGCTAAAGCGTCAAGATGCTATGCATTTATTGTGCAACATTTGGAATAGTGTGACATTGCCAACCCATTAGGTAGATAGTCCCTGAACCATGGCTTCTATCGTTGCTTGAGGTATTGGTTGCGCCGCGAGCGCATGCAGAGCTATCAGAGGATCCTGAAAGTAGCTCTCAGATTTGGCTGACGCTTGGCAGTTCAACAAGAGTCCTAGCGATGGCCTCCAACCTACTTGCGATGGTCACCCTGAGACTGATCCTTTGGCGTTTCTGAGCTGATTGGACATCCAGTTTGCCCCAGTTGGACCGCTTGTCAGGTTGTGTGTCGGCCGGTGTGCCGACCAGGAGTTGCAGCTTGGTGTGCACTGAAGCGGAAAATCAGTTGCCAGTTCCAGAAAGACGAGTGACAAGTGATGCAGAGCGATGCATAGCGAAGCATTGTGTGTAACTTGGAGGAGTCTCTAAGCCTCGGAGCTAAGGATCCACTTCCTTTTCAGCCTTGGAAGACGCGGGGCCTTGCGATGGGACGTGAAACAGAGCTATAGCATTTCCAGGACCAGCTCTTTCAAACCTTGTTTTGAAGATACAGCCTTAATTATATATTATATATAGCATTATAGTATATGTAACATATGTAGTTAACATTAGTTGACCATGTAGTTCTTTGCCTGTTACATTAAGTGTAAAGCATATTGTCGCCAATTAATGGCGTTTAGTGGAGTAACCGCACATTTGTTGCTCTCCAGGAAAGTCTGCGGGATTGGTGGTCAGGGCGCTGTGCCGTCCTTAATGCAAGATCTCCCGATTGGAATACACACAGTTCGCAGGTTTGCTTCTTGCTCGTGCAATCTTCTTCTCTAGATGTCATCTACTTCTTGCCAGTTTTGAAAGGCTGTAGACCTAGAACATTCTAGAACCTAGAATGCGTTTAATCAGTTTAATGATGTGTTTCCTTCCTTTTCTTTCTTGCTACCCACGAATTCCCGCCAACAAGGAGACTCAAAGACGACTTTGTGACATTTTTGCAAGGTCTTCACCGGTGCTGCACGCAGCCCTACGAAAGATGTGTGGCCTAGCTTGAGAGTGTCCATTTGGCAGATCTTTTTTTCTTAAATAAACAACCAACAACTATTCATTTGAAAAGACTTGATGATCAACTCTCAACTGCAGACACCGAGGCATCTCATCATCAAGGAGGACAAACCAATGCTAAATGTCGAAAACCTTCACAACTTTGATATGGTGGCGGTGAAGGCGATATTTTTCTCGTGCTGTTGGTTTGGGGTGCCAAGTCTTGACCTTTGAAGGTGTGGAATTCCAACAATACCACCGCGCTGCGGTCGGAAGTCGGCTTGCTACAGAAAATGCGTCTTAGCGTAGCAAGCAAATAGAGGAGCAAGCAATACTGCAAGGCGTCTTAGAGAAGTCTTTGCAAAATGGTCTACGGAGGCCATCGCTTGTAGGTTGGAGGCTATCGGTCTTAGGTTGGAGGCCATTGCTTCTAGTTTCCAGGCTTCTAGGTTGGAGGCCATCACTGGATCCATCCGCATGGCCAAGGTGTGGGCATCCCAACATCAGCGCCTTTTTGGGCGTGCAGCTCTGCTGAATTCGGCGAATGTCAACACTTGATCAAGAAAGTGAATTCGTGTTGTTTTTAGACATGAATATAGAAGCGCTTCTTCAAGGGCGACGGGGAGAGCTTCCTTGAAGAAGCGTGAGTTATCCTGCGTCCAGTAGGTAGTAGGTAGTAGCAGCTAGCCGCTAGCTAGCCATTACTTCATTAAGTAGACCTACTTAGCTACGTAGTAGAAAACAAGAGCGGCCCAAGAAAAGAAGGGGCACTTCGTGTTCTGCGACGTTATCTTTTTTCAGGTTCTGCGAGCTGGGCGATGAGAGCATGGCGCAGAAAACGCAGTGGGTCACAGTTGTTGAGCTTTGCCCTGGTGGAGATTTGTTTCTTGTCCAACGAACAGAGTCGTTTCAGAACAATCAGTTCAGACACTGATTGCCAGTGCATAACAGGGCCATGACCTGACCTTGCACAGGTTTGAATTGGTATCTGATATCGTGTCTTGGAGCAGAAGAAGATTTGAATTCCAAGATATGAGAGGTCCCAAATGATGCTAATGTTTCCACTCAAGCTCTGTTTGTGACTGTGCCAAAGCACTATGCTAGCACGAAGAGCAACATCTCGCGAGTCCGAAACCGTGTTTTCAGCTGCAAAGATCTGAGAGCTTCGGTCGAGGCAATCCAACAAGAGAATGCGATGCAGATCATGATCGGAATCTTTTCAGCCTTGGTCTACCTGCCACTTGGATTCCATCAAGCACGTTCGATCAAAGCAGCGACAGGAATGTG